AAGCTCCATGAATAACAGAGCAAGAACAATATGCAACTTTTTGGCCCAATCATCAAATGAGAATTTATCTTATATTTGATATGATTCTATGTGTCTATTAGGAAACTATTTCATTCTTAGTTCACAGTGAAGTCTTTATGTATTTGGAAGTGCTTTCATTACAAGTTCCCAGTGAAGTTTTTGGAGAAAAAGGAAGCGAGATTAAAGAAAAGGACTATTCAGACCCACACACAGTGAAGATAAAGAAGTTTCAGGAGTACAGAAATATAGAAACTGGAGGCTTACAGAAAGAAGGCAGAAGAAAAAGAATAAGAAAAATCAGAAGAACCAAACAAAGAGAAATAAGAGAAGGTGGAAGACAAAACAAATATAAGGTCAACACACAAAAATCAGTCTAGTTTTCTACATGAGCAATGAACATTCTGAAAGAAAATTAAAGAAACAATTTTATTTATAATAATAGCATCTTCAAGAATAAAATACCAAGGAATAAACTTAACCTAGAAAGTGAAAGACTTATATATGGAAAGTCATAAAGTATTACAAAAAGAAATGAAAGAAGATCTAAATAAATGGGAAAACACTGTGTTCATGAATTTGAAGGTTAATATAGTTGTCAAGGACTTCATTCTTCTTGGATCAACTATCAACACTCATGGAAGCAGCAGTCAAGAAATCAAATAACGTATTGCATTGGGCAAATCTGCTGCACAAGACCTTTTTAAAATGTTGAAGAGCAAAGATGTCAGCTTGAGGACTAAGGTGCACCTGACCCAAGCCATGGTATTTTCAATAACCTCATATGCATGTGAAAGCTGGACAGTGACTAAGGAAGACCACAGGACAATTGATGCTTTTGAGTTATGGTATTGGAGGAGAATGTTGAAAGTGCCATGAGCTGCCAAAAGAACCAACAGATTTGTGTTGGAAGAAATGCAGCCAGAGTGCTCCTTGGAGGCCAATATGGCCAAATTTCGTCTCTCATACTTCAGATATATTGTCAGGAGGGACCAGTCGCTGGAGAAGGATATCATATTTGGTAAGGTGGAGGGTCAGAGAAAAAGAGGAAGACCCCCAACGAGATGGATTGGTCAAGTGGCAGCACTGATGGACTCAAGTGTGGTAATGATAGTGAAGTTGGCCTAGGATTGGGCAGTGTTTCATTCTGCTGTGAATAAGGTTTCTATGAGTCGGTACTGACTCAATGGCACCTAATCACAACAACAATATAGTTAATATGTTAATACTATCCAAAATGGTATATGGACTGTCATCCCAATCAAAATATCAATAGTCTGCAGAAATGGAAAAAGTCAACCTTCAAATATGTATGGAACTGTAAGGGGCTGGCACCAAACAGTCAAAACAATCTTGGTAAAGAACAAAGTAAGAGGACTCACACTTTCTGACCATAACAACTATTCTAAAGCTAGAATAATCAAACTATTCTGATGCTAATATAATTAATTATAGCTATGCTGAATGTAATAGAATTGAGAACCCATATATCTATGGTCCATTTATTTTAAACAAGGGCACTAAAGGGGAAACAAATATCTTTAATAAATGATGCAGTGACAACTGGATTTCCACATGAAAATTATGAAAATTAACTCTGGAAAAAATATCTAACTGGATGATCTTAAAACCATAAACCTCTTAGAAGAGCATAGGAGCAATGCTTCAAGATCTACTTTTGAAATGGGTTCTTAGATATGATATCAAAATAAGACAGAACAAAGGACAAAATAGATTAATTGAACCCATCAAAACTAAAATAACTTCATCAATGGATATTATCAACAAAATGGAGAGACAGCCTATAGATTGAGATATACAATTTGACAACGATAGCTCCAATTTTGTTGATAAACAGTCAAATTTTGACTCATGGTAAACCACGTGGCACAGCAGAATTTTCACATACGATTTTCCAAATTGTAATCATTATGGGATTAAATTCTCTTAAAGCCACTGGGTGAATTTGAATTACCAACATTTTAGTTACCATTCAATTTCTTAATTGTCATAACACCAGGATTTCTTATGTATATATATTTTTAAAGTGTTTAATACACACAACGTATACAGAATTGCTATAATTTCGCAACAAAAATTCACACAACCGAATTTTTTTTAGAATTTGGGGGGCTCAGAGGACCAGAATATGTATTCCATTAAAGAAGATATGCAGATACCCAACAAACACTGTTAGGGGCTTAATGTCATTAGTCCTTAAGGGAATACAAATCGAAACCAAATGAGATACTATTTCATCCTGAGTGGATGGTTAGGAGTTGCTGGAAGGTGCAAATTGTTATGGTGCCAAACTACTAAATGAAAATGTGGAGGTTCAATTCCAACCTATAGTGTTCCTATAGGACAGAGTATGACTGTCCCCAAAGGGCTTCAGAGGCTAGAAATCATTACAGAAGCAGCTGCCACATCTTTCTCCCACAGAGCAGCTTGTGAATTTGAACCACTGAACCACCGACTTTTAAGTTAGCAATCCAACAGTTAATGCACTGCATCACCAGAAGTCCTATGGTAAATACAAACAGTGAAATACTACTCAGTCATTAATTAAAAAATATAAATGAAGTTCTGATACATGCTGCAACATGGATGAAATGTGAAAATACTATGCTCAGTGAAATGCCAAACAAAAAACAAAACAAAACAAAACAAATCCAGTGCCATTTAGTCGATTCCAACTCATAGCAACCCTATAGGTTGTTTGAGTTTATAGGTTTTTGTGGGAGCAAGCAGCCTTATCTTTCTTCTATGGAGAGTCTGGTGAGTTTAAACTGTTGACCTTGCAGGTACCAGTTCAGTGCTTACCCTGCAATGCCACTCAGGCTCCTTTCAGTGATATAAATCAGACACAAAAGGACAATTAATTAAATAATCTCACTTGTATGAAATATTTAGACTAGGCCAAGATATACAGATCAAAGTTTATTAGTGGTTGCCAGAGGTAGGAGGAGAGAGTGTTCATCTTAAATATCAAAAGATTCAGGCTTGAAAATCCTTTGGAGTAGTTTTACTCTGCACACTTGGGTCGCCTGACTAGATGACAACTAACAACCAGGAGATTAATATGGAAAGGAATGGGAAGTACCTGCCTAGAGAGCAGAGTTTCTCTTAAAGCTGGTGAAAAACTTGGGAAATGGATGATGGAGTCCTGGTGTGGCACTGTGGCATAAGCACTGAGCTGCTAACCACGAGGTCAATAGTTCAAACCCACCAGCTAATCCGTGGAAACCCTATACAAAGTTGTTACGAGTCGGAACTAACTTAACAACAACAACAATGGTGATGATACAAGGTGAAAGTAATTAATGTCATTAAATTGTACATGTAAAATTTTATTTAAATGACAAATACAATGTCATATGAGTTTGAATAAAAAATTATCCACACTCTAGCAGTAGAATTTATTTTACTAAACTTTTTAGATAAGACAAATACATTATTTTATCAAAATAATCTCCTTGTTTTTCAATAAACTTTGTCCATCTGTCAATAAACTTAGATATTCCCTTATTTAAAAAATGTTTTAGGCTGAGCTGAAAGCCACCAATAAGCCACTGTCTTCATTTCTTCATCAGAGGTGAATCTTCGTCCTCAAAGAGCTGCTTTCAGGGTACCAAACAGGTGAAAGTCCGATGGAGTATGTTCAGGACCATAGGGAGGATGCTTTACCACCTCAAAATGAACTTTTTGCAAAGTATCAGCAATGTGGGCAGAGGTATGCAGACATGAATTGCCATGCAGTATCACAATGCCCTTGGATACCAGTCCTCTGCATTTAATCAGAAGTTTAGGCTTCAGCTCTTTAGTGAGCATCTTACTATAATGAACACTGTTGACTGTGGTATCTTTTTGCTCACAGTGTTTCAATACTGGCCCTTGAGAATCCCAGAAATCTGTAAGCATCAATTTTCCAGGTGATGGCTGACTTTTGAGCTTTTTCTTGGTCAACAATTGATGATGTTTCCATTTCATACTCTGCCATTTACTCTCAGGCTGATAGTCATGAATCCATGTCTCATCACCATTAATGATTTTTTTTTTTTCAAAAAAGACACTTTTACCTTCCTTCTAGTATTGGTACAAATTTTGTTTACAAATGTCCATATGCTTCTGTTTATTCTCTTCCCTGATATGTTTAGTACCCAAATCACACAAACTTTTAGAAACTTGTCTGTTGTGGATTATTTCATATGCAGAGCCATGGCTGATTTGCATATGATTTTCCACTGTCACTCTTTATCTGACAGAATCATTTCACACGCACACTCAATGTTGTCATCAGCCGTGGACATGAATGGGCATTTTAATATAACTAGAGTGCAGATAACTTTTGATGCGCCCTAATATATATTTATACCACAATAAAATAAATAAAAATAATAGTTAATAAAGACTAAAAACTCACAAGTTTCTACATTCTTCCAGCATTTTCACATTGCCTGAAACATCATTCCTGGAATTATGTTTGTTCAATTGATTTAGACATTGATCAAGGGTAAATATCAGTGCTTATCCAAATTATTCCAACATTTCCAAAAATTGAAGTGTCAAAATAAAAATATTTACCAAATTTCTCATTTAGTTAACAAAGGAAATTTTTATCATTTTACTTAAGTGTAAACAAAAACCTTTCTCTTTGTTTTTCAGAAGTCTAAAACTAGTACATGTTTAAACTTCTTGAAATTATTTCAAAACTGTCTTTCAATCTACTGAGGTCAAATCCCCTTCTCACATGGGTTTATTTTCTATTTCAGGGGTAAGTTTTGGAGTGAAAGAAAAGATGGTATCTATAGAGAAATGGAAACAGGTTTTTTTTGTTACTCTAAGTGGTATACTGTCATGGAAAATTCAAATGTCACTATAATATGATAGCACATATATTTTGGGGAAATAAAATCTACTGCTTTTTCATAACTGAGCCTTTATATAGTTGGCTGAAGCTTTATTATTTTCTTGTTCCTAAGGTATGAAATCATGAATTTTAAGGAAATGGGAAAAGATTATTTTGATTACATCAATGTTGGAAGCTGGGACAATGGAGAATTAAAAATGGATGATGATGAGGTGTGGTCCAAGAAAAACACCATCATCCGATCCGTATGCAGTGAGCCATGTGAGAAAGGCCAGATAAAGGTAAAAAGGAGTCCTTTTCTTTAATTTTGTTTTAAATTTAGAAGTTTGGTTGGCTGTTTAAAAATGTTTTTGATATTTGTTTTACATTTTATATTGTAAGATTCCTAAGTCAGAAATTGTGTGTTTGTTTTCTCATTCATTCCTCATGTTGCCTAGAGAACACGCCACAATAGTGTTAGTGTTTGACTCATAAAAGTTATTGGTAAATCACATTGGTCCACAACTTTTCTACTCTCGTGAGCCTTTGAAAATGTTTCCTTGGAAAAAATAGTTAACAACTTGAAGACACATTAATTTAAAAATAATTTAGCAAATCCTTACCAAATGATTATTAATGTGATAATTAATAACAATTGGGAAAAAAACATTAGATTCTCTTTATTGTCAGAAGATTTACAGTCTAAATGAGGAAAAATATCATGGCATTGATAAGCAATATCATGTAAAATATGATAGCTTTGTTAAGAAAAAAAGGAGTGATACAGAAGTATAGATAAAATAGAGATTTCTTTTGCCTCAAATATGAGAAGTTGGACCACTAAAAATGTGTGGGATTTCAGAGTTAGTTTGGAAAAAGATAATTCATATAGAAGAGGTTGATTGAAGACTTTTGGAGTAGTAGTGAATTTAATTTTTATTAAACAAGAGTCTGAAAATTATTTTAACCAAGAATTAACATACTGGACTTTGGTAGGTGAATATTAAGGCATAGTGTTGTGTAGCATAAATAAAGAAGGTATAAACAAGTTAGGACACTCTGCTAATAGTAACAAGGGGCATAGGGTAGTGGTTACGAATTGGGCTGTGAAACTTAAGGTCAGCAGCTCAAATCTACCAGCTGTTCCAAGGGAGAAAGATGAGGCTTTCTGCTCTCGTAAAGATTTATAGCCTCGGAAACCCTGTACAGAGTCGCTATGGGTTGGAATCGACTCGACAGCACTTAACCGCAACAACAACAAGGGGCAGGATGGTATTTTTGGGGAGTTATTATATAGATGGAGTCCTGGTGTGCAGCTGTGGGTTAAGGCACTGAACTGCAAGGTTGGTTTGAACTGCAAGGCCAGTGGTTCAAGCTCACTAGTTGCTCCTTAGAAACTACATACAAGGTTGCTATGAATCGGAACCAACTCAATGGCACTTAACAACAACAGCAACTTATTTGTATAGAGTTAATTAGTCCTGACTACTGATTAGATATATGATTGGAAAAGAGAAAAAAGTCAAAGGTAATTAACTGCTGTCTCAAGTTTTATTAAATAGAAGTGCCACTTTCAAGAGTAGAAAAACAGTAAAGGTTTTAGATAAAAAAGGAAATAGGTTAATTGAGGGGGCATATTGGTATTAAGATATTAATTTAGTGATGAAAAATATTGAGATGGAGAAAAATAAGAAATATGGCTAAAAATAGGAATTTATTGCATAGAGCTAAAGTGGTGTAAAACAGTCCACAAGAGCCAAAATACGACTTTAAATATATCCCACCTGAATTTAGAGGTCATCTCAATACAGATTGGACCGAAAACCAGAAGAGTTTTAGGATGACATCAAGCACATCATACAGGAAGAAAGCAAAAGTCATTAAGAAAACAAGATAAAAGATGAAGATGGATGTCAGAAGAGACTCTGAAACTTGCTCTCCCACATTGAGATGCTAAAGCAAGTGGCAAATATGAAGAGGTACAAGAACTGAACAGAACATTTCAAAGGTCAGCTCGAGAAGACAAAGTCAAATATTGTATTGAAATGGGCAAAGACCTTGAGTTAGAAAACCAAAAGGGGAGAACATGCTCGTCATTTCTTAAGCTGAGGGAACTAAAGAAAAAATTCAAGCCTTGACTTGCTATATTGAAAGGTTCTATGGGCAAAATGGAGTCCTCGTGTGGTGCTGTATGTTTATGCACTAAACTGCAATGTCAGTTTGAACCAAAAGGTTGTAGGTGCAATCCCACCAGCTACTCCTTGGAAATCCTATCCAGGGTCACTATGAGTCAGAACTGGCTCGATGGCACTTAACAACAACAATAACAATGGGCAAATAGAAGAAGGAATACACAGTTACTGTACCAAACAGAAATGGGTGATGTTCAAACATTTCAAGAGGTATCATATGATCAAGAGCCAATGATACTGAAGGAAGAAGTCCAAGATGCACTGGAGGCATTGGCAAAGAACAAAGCACTGGGAATTGAAATTAAAATTAAATTAAAATTGTAATTTAAATTAAATTAAAATATTTCAACAAGTTAATGAAGCACAGGAGGCACTTACTCACCAATGCCAAGAAATTTGGAAGACAACTACCTGGCCAACTGACTGGAAGAGATCCATATTTGTAACCATCCCAGAGATAGGTGACCCAGTGGATTGCAGAAATCATCAGACAATATCATTAATTTTGCATGCAAGTAAACTTTTGCTAAACATAATAGAAAAATGGCTTCAACCATACGTTGAGAGAAGAATTTCCAGAGGTTTAAACCAGCCAGATTCAGTAGAGGATGTGGAACCAGGTATATCATTGCTGACATAAGATGGTTCTTGGATGAAAGGAAAGAATACCAGAAAGATGTTTATCTGTACTTTGCTGACTACACAAAGGTTTCTGAATGTGTAGATCATGACAAACTATGGACAACATTGTAGAGAATGAGTATTCTGAGTACTTACTTGTGCTCATGAGAAAACTATACATAGACCAAGAGGTAGTTTTTTGAACAAGGGAACATCAAATGGTTTAAAATTAGATATGTGCCAGCGTTGTATTCTTTCATTATACTTATTCAATCTGTATGCTGAGTTAACAATCTGAATTATATGAATAAAAGCATGGCATTAGAATTGAAGAAAGACTCATTGACAACCTGCCATATGCAGATGATACAATCTTGTTTGTTGAAAGTGAAGACAACTTAAAATACTTACTTATGAAGATCAAAGACCACAGCCTTTGGTATGGGTTGCACCTCAATGTAAAGAAAATAAAAATGCTTATTACTGGGCAAGTAACAAAATCTACATAAATGAAGAAAAGATTGAAGTTATCAAAGACTTCATTTTGTTTGGATTAACATTCAACACTCATGGAAGCAGCAGTCAAGCAATCAAATGACTTACTGTATTAGGCAAATCTGTTGCACAAGACCTCTTTAAAGTGTTGAAGAGCAAAGATGTCAGTTTGAGAACTAAGGAGTGCCTGATTCAAGCCTTGTTATTTTCTATAACCTCATATGCATGTGAAAACTGGACAGTGAATAAGGAAGACTGTGGAAGAATTGATACATTTGAGTTATAGTGTTGGAAGAGAATATTAAAAGTGCCATGGGCAGTCAAAAAAAACCAAACAGATCTGTGTTAGAAGTACAGCTTGAATGGTCCTTGGAAGCCAGGATGGCAGACTTCATATCTTATACTTTGGGCATATTGTCAGGAGTGGCCAGTACCTGGAGAAGGATATCATGTTTGGTAAAGTGGAAGGTTGGAGAAAAAGAGGAAGACTCCCAACGAGATGGATTAGCATAGTGGCAGCAACAATGGGCTCAGATGTAGCAATGATTGTGAGGTTGGCGCGGGACTGCTCAGTATTCCATTCTGTTGTGCATAAGGTCGCTATGAGTTGTTACTGACTCAGTGGCACCTTACAACAACAACAAAAACAAAGTTGAAACTTCTAGAGTTGAGAAAATCATTAAACTTGAAAGTATATAGAGAAAATATATGCGAGCAAAGAAAAGACTTTGGAGAATTTTTTGTTTTGTTTTTAAGTTTTTATTGTGAATTGAGTGATAGTTTACATGGAGGAACATCAGTTTTACACACATCCTATTGTATTTGGTTCATTGCAATGATTACAGTCCCCTGCATGCTTCATCATTCAACAGTATGTGCTTCTATTCCCTTGGGATTTTTTGTTTTGTTTGTTTTATTTGTGGATGTGCACCAAAACACTCAGGAATATGCAATCATTCAAACAGCCAAAGGGAACACCCTGCAAGCCTGCCCCCACCCCCACCCCTCAGCCACCAGCGCACATCCAGTCTCCCTCCACGATTCTAGAGTTCTCAGCTGCTCTGTCTCTCCATGTCATCATCTCTTCCTCCATCTTTGGCATCACTGCTTCTCTGAGTAAGTTCCCATACTCTGTCCCTGCTCTTCTCCCTTGATGGTCTCAGGATCCTCTGCTCCATGACTGTAAGATCAACCACTCACCCCTTTTTGCTACAAAATTTCTACCTTTACTGTTGTGACAATCGCAATTAGTCATGATAACATTTACTCACTATTGAATCATGAGAGTTTTGTCCCCATCTCCTTTCACCAGACCTGTCTAGACAGGATGAAAACTACTTAGTGGGGATTCTGCCTTCCCCTACACACTCTGAATATAAATTCCCCTTAAAAACTTATAAGCCAGTCACTTTGTGCCTTTACAACACCCCCGTTTTAGGCAGCCAGTGTCTAAGTAGGCCATCCCTATCAACTCTTTGTACAAAGGGGATAGGAATGAACCTTGCTATAGAGTCTTTCCCTCTTGATTGGGATTTTAAGCTAATGTATCCATAAGCATAGGTCAAGTTCATCAGATTTTAGCGATTTGCAGTTGTTTTCATCAAAAAAAAAATTTTTTTTTCCCCTTTTCCTTCCTCTAGTCATTCTGAACATCCAGCCATTGAAGCTAGGTTCAATGGGCACTCTTTGCAAGTTTGGGTGCCCTTGTGCATATCCCCTCCCTTCATATCAACTGGAGACTTCACTCTCAGCTCTAGCCCTCCATGGTCATGTCCTTGTCCATGGGCTCAGGAGTCCCCAAGTCTCACTGTACTTCGGGCCAATCAACTCTCACCATATTCCAGGTTGATGGGGGTCTATGTAACGTGGTCGGATTCAGCCCACCTCTTAATTGCTGCTTTTCCCCCACTTTCTCTCACCAGTCAGCCAACGTGGTGGCCAGCAAGCTTACATACTTGCTCATGTATTACCTTTGGGTTTCAGTATCCTAAGGG